GAGGAAAGTATCCCTCTTTCTGATTCCAATTGAGAAGTAAGTAACATGTCTAGCTAAAGACAGTAAACTAAGCGCTGACTGGGAGGCAACCCAGTGGATACCTTTGCCCTCTCACAAGGAGCAAAGTTTTGGGGTGGTTACACTTAACCACAAGGCTCCCAACAAGGAAGGAACATCCGATGTTCACCTCTAATCCAAACTATTGACCTACGTTCTATGGCAGGAACATAGTTTTGGGGTGGTTCAAGAACCACATACACCCATTTATTGCTTTATGTTATTTCCCTTTTGTTTTGTTTTCCGTTCCCTAGTGTAATTTTAACTTCTTTTTGAAATGAAAAATCTTTTTTTTGTTCAAACTGTTTGGAGCATACATTTCAGTTATAGTATTGTGGCTGTAAAAGTTGAATACCCAATGGCATGAAGCACAAAATCAATAAGTAATCATTCTTGTTCTTACTCTGAATGCTTGAAACAGGAAAAGAGAAATGAATTTAATCTTCAGATTTTTTAGGAAAGCTGATCTGTGTGAACTAAAACTGATGAGGAACGAAAAATGCCAAACACTTACTCATGAGAGCGTTCCTGAGGTGTCACCACAATGAAACTTCTAAACTTGTCTTGATGTTGTCAGTACTGCTGAAGAACAGGTGAATTTCACTAACAAGGATCAACCTTCAAACACTCAACCCGTTACAATCAAACAAACACTTCCATTTTCATTCATACCACAGCACCACCCCACACACTCAAACTCATTCCTAGGTCAACAAAAAAGGGCAAGGAACAAATCCAAAATGAGCAAAAAGGACAAGAAGATAAGAAAACAAAATAGGGACAGCCATTCAAAAGAATTCAGAAGAAAATACCAGAAAAGATTCCTCCTAAGGAAGAAAAGAAGGTACAAAAAGATAAGGTGTTCCCTCAAACAGAAAAAGTCCATCTCCGGAACAGAAGGACTGAAAAATGTCCTTGACCCAAGACCTGTGACCAGTCCATTTCTAAAAACCTTCTATCAATCATTTTTCACAAAGATCCTTGATATGAAAGACCCCTGCACTTCTTAGGAAAGCAGCAGATAAGCAAGTTTGAAGAATCACATCCAGGAATAGACAGAGAAACACCAAGCCCTGAGTGATAGGGAGACAAAAGATCAGCAATCTTCACTTACCTTGGAACAAATTCTTTTTACTTATCATCTGTGGAAAGTAGTTCATTCTTTGAAAATATTATGGTTACTTACTGGCTCAAGCTTATGAAGTTGAACTATTCTTTGAAATTGAGCAGCCTAAGCAACTATTTCTTAGTTGTTTGAGGACAACCAACAGTTTAGTTTTGGGGTGTTTGATGGGACGAAAATTCGTTCACATCTAAGCCTATTTTTATGGCAAAATACCATTCGTTCCCTCACCTGATGAGCAACTTTAGCACTAAAAACACATGTTTTATATCTTTACTACAAAAACACAGTGGGAAACGAAAGGTGACGTAATCTTTTGGAAAATATATATAAAGGGGAACGGATTTGGAACATTAAATACACCTGCTTCACTTACTCAATATTTCTGACCACTTTTCAGGAAATGTTGAAAAGAAGTTTCCAATTAAGCACAAGTGGGCAGCAATCAACCAAGGAGAAATGTGCGTAGCAGGGAATAAACGGTTCTTATTGGCTGAAAAGGAAAGCAAGGCATGGGGGAGATCAGAAGGAAAGACAAATCTCAACAATAACTATCCCATCCAGCCACTTGCGCCCCTCAAAGCACTGTTCACACTGCCCCTTTCATGCAATCAAGAAAACAACTCCAAGAGATTTACAAGCTTGCCATTCACTCTTCTGCCTATAAATAGGACGTTCCAACACGAAGACAAGGATCGAATTCCTTAAGAAGAGATCACTTAGTTTATTTTATAGTTTTCTTTATATTTGTATAGTTTTAACTTTAGTTAAGTGACAACACTTCTTCTTCATTCTGTATCATCCACTTGAGACTCCTCACGAGCAGCAATCATATTCTCCATTTTTCATTTTGTTGTAATCAAGTTGTTTTCATTTCAATACAAGTGTTATTTCTCTCCTTTCCATTCGTTATCTCTGAACTGAATCTCGAGTCTATGAGACTTCAGTTTGGAATAATTATGTTTAAACTAGTAGCCATGGGCTAAACTATCTGTGGAGCGAAAAAACTGCAAAGTTCTTAAAGAATTACTTTCAAAGCTCTTGTATTACAGCTTTTGTGTTTCTCTGGTTAAGTGAGCTATATTCATTGTGTATCAATGGAAATTGAACACATACTGAGAAAGGAACTTCCATAAGGAAGGGATTTCACACAACTTAACCAGAGGGGGAAGGCAGTCTTGTGGAAACAATACTGCTGGTTGCCTTAGGAATAAGGGACCACCTCGTTCACTCAAAGGTCCTGTACCCAGTACCTGTTGGAGTCAAGGAAGCCATAGGAATATGGAAACTTGGAAGCCATCTAGTCCATGAGCTGAGGAATCAGAGTTGGCAGTAAAGAGATTGAAACATATACAAAAATGTTGAGTCTTGAGTAGAGAAACTAATTATTTAAGAAAGGAGCAGTGGATCCGTTCCTTCTGTTAAAACTGTTTTCAAACCATCCACCTTGTTGTCTCTTAATTACTGTTATTACTGTTTGTAGTATTTTTCTTTATTTAATCTTGTATCTATAAACCTCTCATGAATATTGTTGTTCCTTCCCTCAAAAAGAAGGATAACATACATAACGAAGCGATGAACTGTTTGCTGTCAGATTGAACTTACTGTCCTTGAGGAACGTTGTCAAGACAGTAGGGAACGTTTGACCAAATAGGTCGATTACTAACTTTTCTTTTCATTTTCATTCTTTGTAAAATAGTATAAGGCATTAATTAGAGTTCCATCCTCATGGGAACGATAATCTGGGCATTAATACTCCCATTTATTACTTGATGCGTGCACTTGCGCACTTGGGTTGAAATTAAGAGAGCAAATGTGTTTTCTCTTAATGAAACGTTTTACAGCATAAAATATTTTCCACCCAACAAGCTTTGACCCAACATAGGTAAAGACAAAAAAAATAGTAAGGGAGTCCTTTTTTACTTATCTTCGTTGCCATTTGGTTTGACGTTCGGTCTTTTTTAATTGCTAATTTTTTATTGTCATGCAGGATGATTCGTATTTCATGCACAATAGGTATATTGTTAACTACTATTTTTGCACAAACAATATTTCATGGTAATCAATAGATTGATGTATTGTTATAACACTTTTGATTTGTACTCACAGATTAATGTTTTTTTTTTTTCATACTTTCATTCATAGATTACTTATCATTCATTTCTAAGAGGAGGAAGAATCACAAGTGCATCGCGGAATGGGTTTTATAACTTTTGCAAGTATAGGTTCGGCATCTTTCTTATTACCTTCATGTCAAGCACAACATTTAAATATTTTTTGTTCACATGTTGCGTTATTATGTTTATTATGCTTGACTCTATTACAGACATGTAATAGATAAACGCTGTTATATGTTCTGATCATCTCTGGGAAATACTGAAAGAAATTGAGTCAAACTTTATAATTTTTGAATGACTACATGACAAGGTAAAATGCAGCAATATATTTTTATGTGTTCGTTAGTTTTTACGAGACAAACAAATCACTTTTTTTCTCTCCATGCAACGCACAGGTAATACACTAGTTTTGATGTATAAAGGGATCCTTCTGTATTAGCTTATACTATACGATGGTCACACTAAACAACTAAAATTATTATAACGTATAATATAAGCTTATACTATCAGACGTTATATCTCACACTAAACAAGCTAACAATAAAATAAAGTGTACTAACGCCTATGATGACTTACAGCTCCCGCATATATGGGAAGGGCTTCTGGCTCTGATTTTACTTTCAGAGGGCATAGTTGCATCGTTAATTGGCGATTTTATAATGTTAAATTTTATTTAGATAAAAAATTGAAATATACTAATCCCATAATATAGAAGACTAATATTTTACGTCATAAATATGAAATATATGGGCCCACTCTTTTAAGAAAAGTAACAAAATAAATAAATAAATGGATACCAAATATTTTATGTCTATAACATGAAATAGTAAATTACAACATGAAATTAATATTTCCCCCCAAAAAAATTTGTCCTATTTGGTCATCAATTCCTTCACTGACAGAAGCCGAAAATGGGATTTTCTTTGTAGTTCGTACCTTTGCAACACTTAGCGACCGTTTGGTACACGAATTTTTCTTAGATTCTCGAGAAACTGAAATTTTTAAAATTTTAAATTTTCAGATATTATCTTAAGCTGAATATAAAAATCATATTTTTGAAAATCGAGATTCCCGGACAAATAAAAATTTCTCCTGTACCAAACACCCCCTCAAGTGGTGTTTGGTTGAAAGTTTTTCAGCGGATATCTATCTTTCTCAAGTATGGCTTTTAGAAATACCATGTTTGTTTCAACGTTTTTCACCAAAAACCTATCTATCCAATTTGTCTGGATTTATGAGAAACATAGATATCCGCACTGTTTAGAAACCCAATTTAAAGGTGAGATTTTTCGGAAAACCAGTTATCTGACTTTTAATGCACTGTTGATTTCATAAAGTTACCTAATTTTCCCAGTAAAGTTTTTCCCCACCAAACAACTTTTTTTTACATTTTTCTACCTATCTCACTTTATTTATCTTTCCAATCATTTCTCTATCTATCTCATTTCCCTATTATTCCAAAAAAATTCCTGAACCAAACGCCCCCTTAAGGATTGTCGAACAGCTTTTTTCATTGCAGAACCGATACTAACCTTATTTTCCATGAATTTGGAGCTGAAATTAATTTTAAAATGTTGGACAAAGGACATTTCATTTTCAAATATCGAAAAGGAAAAATACCGATGGCTGAAATTTTCTGCTCGTTTTTGGCAGGACAAGTCTGAACCAAAGAACATATTCAAATAACCATCCATTTCCATTGAGTACCAAAGTTTAAACAAGGTATTTTAATAATAACGCTTGAATTTTTTCCCATTTTAGTAATTATTACAAATTGTTGATGACAGAACAAAATTCATGAACTTCATTTTAGGCTGTCTATTTACATAGCAATATTTGTTAGCACTAAGCGTCTCTAGACTCTACCTATCCATTCACAGGCAAATGATTAAGCTTGAATGTGAATCTCAGACATTAACATTTTAATAAATGAACTAGCAAAGAATCACTCAGCTTCAAGGGCAGCAATTTCATATCTGACTTCTTCTAGATGTTCATTTATGGCCATGACAGCATCCTGGACACCTCTAATAGCTTCCTTGAAAGCATTATCATACTCAGCATCAGCTTCGGCCTCTTCAGTTCCAGAAGCCTCAGTAATCTCCTGAACATGAACACATTCATGCTCTGTTAACTTTGTATATTTGCAATTCTCATGGCTCACCAGGCGTTCGGATGGGCGGCCGGCTTTCTTTAACATCTGAATGGTAGCTGTCTTTAAATTAAAGTAATTGTCAGAAAAGACTTAACATTTGAATGAATGACACTTATATTTTGAGTTGTCAGAAACAGCAAAGTGCAATTCAAAAGAATAAGGAATTCTAATTCATGAAGGCAATCAAGAGCAAGCAGAATAACTAATTGATATATGTGATCAGTGCAAAATTTTCAAGGTAAAAAAACTGCAAGCAACACCACCAGAGGAAGAGGAAGCAAAATAAATGAATTTGTTCCATTCAACAGAACTATTATTTTTTACCTTATAGCGTGATAGGGTATGTATCTGTATGGAATAAAAGTGTTAAGCCAGATCAGTTCCACATAGAACACTTACTACATAGAACTGACGTACAAGAAATTAAGAAACATAAAATCATTTTTAACAAAAGATGTCTAAATATAGACTAGCCCTTTTAGGGTTTAATTTCCTATTTTTGTTTGGTAGAATTAGTAGGGTTTAAATATACATGTATTAGCCTGTTCTTGGTGGCCAAACCGACATTGCGTGATAGGGTATGTATCTGTATGGAATAAAAGTGTTAAGCCAGATCAGTTCCACATAGAACACTTACTACATAGAACTGACGTACAAGAAATTAAGAAACATAAAATCATTTTTAACAAAAGATGTCTAAATATAGACTAGCCCTTTTAGGGTTTAATTTCCTATTTTTGTTTGGTAGAATTAGTAGGGTTTAAATATACATGTATTAGCCTGTTCTTGGTGGCCAAACCGACATAAGCTTAAAGTGGTGCAGTCAGATTTTGCATTAGGACTAAAGTTTTAGTTATTAAGTTGGAGAAACAAACCTAGTCCAACCAAGAGTGTAACTAAGTGCATAAAATTTTGTTTTTCTGAAACAAGTGGTTTGAATCTTACATTTGGTCTGGCATTGAGCATCAACATCAACATCAACTTTATCCGAAATTAGTTGGGATTAGCGGTCAATGAACCCAAATAAAAAAACAAGAAAAGATTGAAGGAAAAGAAAAATAAGTAAAGAGAAAAAAATGGAAGAAGTAAATAAGAGGGAACCCTAACAGGTTGCGCAACTATGACACTACTTGGGGGCATGAAACTTCAATACCCAGGCTAAGCATGCCAACATAGTCAATTTATTATGACACTACTCATAGCGAATTAAACAGGATTTTTATGCTTACTAAGTTAGTTAAAGACTTCAACAAATTATAACAATAGAAAAGCTGGATACCCAATGGACAAAGAGTTCTCACTTGATATCCAGATAATAAACATAAAGAAAGTCTGAAATATATAGGGTAGCATGTTTTAGTTTGATGATCAACACCACCTAGAGAGAAGATATAAAAAGCACAGTACATGAAGATAAGTTGATATAGAAAAATATAAATTTCATGCATAGATACAAACACTGACATACCAGATGCAGTTTCTGCTTTTCCTGATCTTGAACAGCTCTAAGGAGCTGTGCTAGATCGACTCGGCAGTAGTCAGGGCTCCGAAATAGTGACTCCATTTCAAGGACCTATGCTAAAGCAGAAAATAAAGAAGTTAAAGAAATGAAGTAAAATTAAACAAAAGCCCCATTTTTATTTTTATTTTTATTTTTATTTTTTTTAGAAAAAAGAAGAAGAAGATAATTTTGGGATCATGTGTCGAACTTTTTTTGAGCAATCATTAAACTCTATTGTGACTTCACTGCAAAGCTTCTGGTAAGCCAATTCCCCTCCAGAAGTCATGTAGTCAGAAAAACCCCTGCCAAGTTAGAGATTGGACCACCATGTAAACACTAGCACAAGAGAGTTTTTGTATTGAAGATTCATGGAAAAGTAACATTTGACACACTATAAGAGATCCAATGACCGTGCTATGAATTTTCAAGTTATAAAAATATGCATATGTAGCATTACCCCTTTGATATATGCATCTCAAAGCTAAAGACAAAATAAATTAAAAATAGGAAAAATAAAATAAAACAAAATATGAATAGCAAAGATCTAGGAATTTTAATTACATATTATGGAATCCCTTTCTATTCACGAAATCACAATGAGTAAAAAAAAAGGAAATAAAATGGAACTATACTATTGGCCCATTTCCCTGGATCAAACTTGAAATCAAGCTTTGCACATATTTTTTATTTAACGAGTTTTCTATATTTTATTTAATTTTTATTATTTTGGTTTCTGCCTCAAGCTCAAATACGAACCCTTAAGGATCACTATCACTAACATTAACGGAGCCCTAGATTCCAGATCAAAGAAACTCGGAGAAACGAGACACAGTCATAAAGGGGAAAATAGAAAGCAAGAAAAACGAGAGTTGATTTTCAAAGTACTTCCGCGGAATCCAAACAAAACCTAGCAATCTAACTGAAACAAACCTTTTGAGCTTGGAATAGGCTTGGGCTCTGCGTTGCTGAATTCCAAGGAAACCGCGAAGCAAAGCAACGATTTTGGTTGGATCAACCTCCATCGTGTCCTTTATCGAAACCTTCTTCTCAAAATCTAAATCTTCTTCCATCAATCCCTGCGATTTTTCACTTCGCTTAAGCTTCTTTTCTTACGACCATTTTATACCACCCAACCTGTGTCGTTTTCTTGTAAAACGACATCGTTTGGAAATCGTCTATAGTTATTCGACCGACATGGTGTTTAATGATGCAATCAAGAGTCCGAATATTATCGACACTTAATAATAAGAGTAAACACCATTTTTAGTACCTGTCAATATTTACGAAGTCTTTTTTAGTCCCTGACAATAAAAAAGGACCAAATTGGTCCCTGAAATTACAAAAAAAGGGTCATATTAGTCCTTATGTCAACTCCCAAATATGTAGAGTGGCCCTTTTCTTGTACTTTCAGGGACCAATTTGGTCCTTTTTTATTGTCAGGGACTGAAAAGGACTTCGTAGATATTGCCAGGGACTAAAAAGGGTGTTTACTCTAATAATAAAGAGTGTTACAAAAAAGAATGCGAAAAATATATTATTCGCTTATTCATTGTGTTTATTGTTTTTGGTAAGCTTATAAAAAGTGCCGAAAAAAAAAGAAGGTGAAAAATGTTCTGTTTGATTGTGTTTTGATTTTTTTGTTTTAAAATTGTTTTGTAAAATAGTTATGGAAACAGTTGTTTTCTATATTTTTTTCTTTTTGAAAGTTAAAAACCAAAACAGAAAATAAAAACAACTCAGACATGTTCTCTAAATTTGATTTTAAAAACAAAAAAATAGTTATAGTTTTCAAAATATTTTTTACAAAACAGGTCTTACCAAACGAGTTTTTTAGTTTTTTTGTTTTGAAAACTAAAAAACTGTTTTGCAAAACAGAAATCAAACATAGCCGTTATTAGTTTGTTCCTTATGATTATCTCTTATGCACGAATATTTTTTTTTGGGAGAAAAAAAAAATTGTGTCGGATACCAACATGTGGTCAACACTCTAATATGCTTTTGATCGATCTAATACAATATGGGCTAGCCAATATGTACCGGGCCTAGTCACACACAGTTGACGTGAGAAGACTTTGAGTTTGGTTGTCTGTTTTCTGGGTTGTTGATAGTTGTTGAGGATATGATGTGTATGATTCTCCTTTGGCGCGATGATCCTGACTGGGGGTACCTGCAATGACACTCTGATGCTCAAGTCAGTATCAAAGTCAGGCTTACGTGGTATTCTTACTGAATTAGATTGTCATATATGGGTTTGTACCCTTTGTTTATATAGTAAATCTGATGTCGCCTTCAACAGACAGTGTGTCTTCTGATTGGCAGTAGATAGGCTGCAGGTTCAGGTGGTGTCTTCCTGGCCTTATCTCAATAGATCATGCTATCTTGATAGAGTGGTGGCAAGCTGGTGCTGTCTTTTGTTTATTGGTTCTATGGCGCGATGGATCTTTACTTGTATCGTTGATCGTTTCCTTATCTCTGAAGTTATGTTAAAGGCGGTTCGGGCACGATGAAACCATCGCGCCCCTTGATCCTTTATGCGATGAAGACATCGCGCATTGTTTTGGGCCCTGCGGGTTTGGGCTTTGATCTTTGGACCTTAACCTTTGGTGGGCCTACTGTACTTTATCCAGATCAGTTGCCCCCTAGCTCGCAGCTTTTGTATTTTCAAAGCTAGGAGATATAGATATTCTTTAAGCGCGATATGTCTTTAGCACGTTTGCATTGCATTGTGGTGTTTGATGGTCCTCAAAAGTTGAGGTCCATTAAGTATATATCACTCCACAAAATCCCTGTTTTGGTCACAAATCACTCTCTTTAACCTTCTTTTTCCATGAAGAGCAATTGTCTTGAAAAGTGGACCAGAGCAATACTTGAAATGAGAATTAGAGTAGGCCTGGAGCAAATTGACATTATCTTTTTCACATATGATTATTGGGTTGATTTGTTTTGATCAGGAAACCTGAGACCTAACAGAAGGGCCCACACATTAAGGAAAAGAAGGAAGAATGTTGCGCAGAAGGGAGCATAAAAGCCTGCTACAGTACAAAAGCACTAAAAGGCAGCAATTAGGAGCCTCCACGTCAGCCACAACAGAGAAGGTGGAGGTGTCTCCCTGATTCCGAAATTCTCACCCGAGAAAAAGCACCAAAAGCAAGGGGGACCACTGCCATGCAGAGCTGAGCTGGCAGAAAGTAGACCGACTATTGGAGATGATTTGAAGAAGGCACAACCCTTGATGAAAGGGACGATGAGGATCTGACAGAAGAACTCTATAAAAGGAAGAATCAACCTTCATGAGAAGGGATCGGGACACCATTCGAGGGCTTGCCATTTATTTTTCCTGATATTTTTCTTTTGTAATGCTCGCTAGGAGCTAACTTCCTCTAAGTAGGTGAGGGTTCCATAGAAGTAATCCCTTTTGTCTTAGGATAACTTTGTAAGGAACACATATTTTATGAATGAATTTTGAGCTATTCTTTGGTTTAATATATTGATTCTGTGAAACCCTTTGGGCTGGCAACCTCATCCCGGGACCACTCGGTCGATGAAACACTGACAAGGGCGTGCGGAGCAGTCTCAAGATCTTGGGGTAGTTCAGCCTGAAGAAAAGAGGGAGGAACACCTGGAATGAAGAGCACTGCCATGTGAATCCAGGCTCTTTTGAGAAGGCAGCATGGTTTCCTTGCATTTAACCCTAAGTTCTACGGAGTAATGTGGAGAGTAAGGCCTTGCTCTTTTACTTACTTGTGGCAAAACGACGAAAGGAGCAGAATCCAGTTTTAAAATATGCTACCAAGCAGGGTTAACCAAATGGATGAAAATGTGGAACCCGAAACACCTACTTAACTCTTTCTAAACTCAATCTCACATCAAACTTTTGTTATAACTTTCTTCACGACAACCAAATTGTGCTTATCTATTGCTGCTTTTATAATCACTTCACTAATTTCTTTTGAGTTACTTCAATTTGATGCCTTGATATTCGATGACTATGCTAAGTTATTCACTGCTCTCATCTAGTTCAGAATGGTTAACACTGTTTAACTAGCTGGCTAGAGATTGCTCCTTGTGAAGCTTGGTTGAGAATAACTACTTTCCTTTCATTTTTCTAAGAATTAAGTTTCCCTGAACGATTCCTTCTTCACAACTGCTCCTTGAGGACGATAAATCTGGGGCTAACAACACCATGTATTGCTTGACACGTACGCTTGCGTATAGTTGAAGAGGGTTGGTCTCCGTCAGAGTAGATTGCTCCTGTTTGCAATCTCGATTATCACTCTGTATTATTTCTCCTTAAAAATATCCCTGAGCAGCTCTCGGTTCGACCAAGCAGTGTTCACAATAAAAGGCCATCATTACCTTGTCGTTTTGGGACGGTTGATTGGATGTTAACTGTCAGGGGTATCTAATGCCACCGTAATTACGTGGGTGTATTAGTGACAAACATGGGATGTTTTAGGTTTTAATCTATTTGCCTTCTTTCCACATGCCCCCCTTTTCATCTGTTTTACTCAACACGTTTTAACCTTTTGGGTTTCCTTGTGGTGACTTTTCGTATTTGTACTAAGCTACTTAGTTGGAGGGAAATCACTCTAAGCACTTATCTCTGTTGCAAAAGGCTTTCTTCTCTAGTATTCCTTCTCCGGTGAACTTCCTGGATCTTTGACACGTCCTGCTGTCCACTCCACCGTTGAAGTATAAAACTTAAGGTATGTTGCTACCCTTTCTTTTATTCTACTATTCTCTTGTCTTTATTACGTTTCTTCCCTTTTATTGAGCTTAAGGTATGCTTGATAATCGCAAATTTGTGAATTTTATCAGAATGGTCGAAAGGTCTGGGTCCACCAGTCCTCCACCAAGATCCTTTCCTAGGTCTCGGTCTCTAGGGACTGGAGAATGGTGGCTGGCGGGCAAGGGTGTTTCACCCTGGGAGAGAATTAAAATTAATAATAGTTGTTCATCTGTTCGTCGATGTAGTGAGGTCGGATCTTCATCCCGGAAACTTAATTACAAGATATCAAGGACTTTGTCGCAACAAAGTTCATCTCTTTTTCCAAAATCTCTAAACAAAATGGCAAATCCTATCTACATATCAAGTGATTCCAATTCAGATTCTGGGTTTTGTCACGACCCTATTAATGTCCTAAGTCCTGAATCTCCTACTTCAACCTCATCGTGCAATACTCCATCTTCTATCGCGCGGGATCAGCCAGACCAAAAAAGTCCAAGTCCACTTCCCTTAAATGTTATTTACCTTGCTGGGTATCCGTATAAAAAATGGAATTTTGACAACTTTAATTCTACATTCGTTAGTTTTTCGTCTACTTCTTCTAGCTCTACTAATACCTCCTCTTATGAACCAAATTTCATCTCACCTGAAATTAAAGAGATCATGGTCAAGCGCAATGCGGCTGAGAAAAAGAAGAAACAAAAGCACGATCCTGAGGCAACTGGGTCAGGCACACGGAGCATCTGGGATGAAGAGGCTTTAGATTGGGTGTCTGGCATCGTGTTAGACACTGTCTCTATCTACAGCTCTCCAGGGGAACTATAGGAGCTGAAGGTTGCAATTCATCTGACCGTAAACAAAGTACAAGATGATAAATGTGAATTATTTGTGGTTCCCATGAATGAGCGAGTGTGCTCATCGCGCGGAGACAGTTCCTCCAAGCATTTTCTTATGATGTATGCTTTTTTATTTTTAAACTTAGGAGTGAGGCTTCCTTTTTCTCCTTTCGTCTGTAAACTTCTGGAGCATCTTCATGTAGCTCCCTCCCAACTAGCCCCCAATGCATGGGATTTTATTAGAGTGTATAAGATGGTATGTAAAGTGTACAATTTATTTCAGTCTCCCGAGTCATTTTTATGTTTATTCAATGTATATGGGTCGCGAGCCAGTTGGGTATCATTTCGGGGGAACGCAAAACACAAATTATGTGATTCCTATCAAAGGAAAGTGCACAGGTGGAGCACTGAATATTTTAAAATCTACCCAGCGAGGATTGTCATCCCTTCTATCTGAGAGAAGAACTTAACACTCATATCTTTCCTTTGTACTGGACGTGATATCTCGCAAAAGAGTACAAACTGAACATAACTTTTGAAGACTTAAGTG